CGAAATCTCTCTCCCTCCAGGGCTTTCGGCCCGGCTTTAGTACCGCCCGCGTCCTGTAACGAATCGGAAATCCTCCCGCCTGCGGAGTGGCGCACCGATGTACGACTGCGATGACGTTTCAGCGGTCATTGCGGCACTTGTCCTTACCTTGGGGATTGGCCGATTATACCTGACCCTCTGAGCAAGACTAAGGAGGATCCTTTTCCGGTCGTGCATCTGTGATTAGGCGACCCCGTTCCACGCCAAGGCGCATCCGCCCATACTCGGAAGAGAATTCCGCCCCGAGTATGAGGATGATACTGGCAAGATATGTCCACCCCAGCAGTGCTATCACGGAGGCAAGAGATCCGTAGACTGCTTCGTAGTGGGCGAAGTTATCGAGGTAAAAGACAAAGACGGTCTTGGATATCTCAAACAGCGCGGCTCCCAGGACCGCGCCTGGCCAGATGTACTTCCAGTAAGTTTTGGTATTTGGAATGAACTTGTAGATGAGCAGGAATATGGCAAGTGTGAACAGGAAGGGCAGTGGACGGGTAAGAAGGTTGATTACGTTATCGTCCAGAAATTCCACGCGACCGATAGCCGGAACATTGTGTGTCTGCAGGATCTGAAGCGCAGCGGTGGTGGTAAGGGACATTAGGAACAGGGGAGCGACACTCATGGCCATCATAATATGCCGCGCCTTGTCGATGTAGAAGGGACGGTCCTTGTGTATGTCCCAGGCGCGATTCACCGCACGACTTATCGCCCCAAACAGAAGGCTGGCCGACCAGAACAGTCCCAGGAAGCTCACCAGTCCCAAAACCCCTCGAATGTTACCGGCGGCATTGATGTTGGCCGATAGGAGTTCCTTGGAACCGGGAAGGTATGTCTGGAACATGAAAAGTACTTCAGCCTTCGATGATCTCCGATTCAGGAATACAAATAGCCGACCAGCTGAGAGGTGCAGGCAACACTCCGCGGGAACAGGGACAGCAGGGCATAATATGCCACTCCCGCAGCCATGTGGGTTGCGTCGTCCGCTCCCATTTCCTTGGCTGTGCGGTAGACGCGATTGCTAAGGGATTCGAGCAGGGGAGTCGTCGAACCAGCCGCCTGCCCCGCACACGCAGCCGCAGCACCTCGCGCTTGCGTGCCCACTGCGACTGGATCCGCTCGATTTGAGTTGTCAATGTTTCTCTGAGACGGGCCGGCGACTTTACCATATGACCATTATAAGACAAGGGCGGGTGTATACCCGCCCTGCGCTATAGTCAGTGCCGCCTTGCGGCCTGACCAAAGGATACTGTCCGCGGAAGGTTCCTGCTTCGGTCGCCTCTAGTTTTCCTTCCTATTCTCGCTTCGGAATGGCGCACGCAGGATGACGGATACCCCTCCGATCACGCCGCTGACCGAGTCCCTGACGGCGGTGGTGGTGGCTTCCCCGAAGGAACCGGCGGCGCTCACAGCACCGTTGGCGCAGCGGATGCCGCGTCTTCAGCCCGCACGCCGATGCGTTTGGCGGCTTCGATGGACTCTTCCACCGCATTTCCACCACCCCACCTGTGTTTGTGTGTTCACCCAGTTTTGTTTGTGGTGTTTGTCACCCGTCCCGTGGTTCACACCGCTTCCAGGGCCACGGTGTGCCCACGTCTCCGCCCACCTCGGCGGTTCCCTTGACCAAGCCTCGGCTGGTGTCCTCGACGGCCTGCAGGACGCTTCCGCCTATCTGGTTGGCTCCGTCGACCGCGCCATCAATCATCGAGGAGTCACACGCGCCGTGGCTCCAAGGTCGCCGCCGATCTCTCGCGTACCGTGAATGGCGCCGCGCGCCGCGCTGAACGCTACGTCCTGCATCCGCACCGTGACGCTGCCGGTGGCTTCAATGGTCCCCTCAACCGCATTGCGGGTGACCGACGCCACATCTCCGCCCACATCGGCGGCGCCCTGGATCAAGCCGCGCGTGCCTTCTTCCACTGCCAGGAGAACGTTGCCGCCCACCTCCGCCGTGCCGACTACAACTCCCTTGGCGCTGTCCCTCGCGGTAGCCCCCAGGTCTCCACCCACTTCCCGGGTGCCCTGGATCGCGCCCCGAGTCAAGCTGAAGGCCGTGTCTTCGGCCCGTAGCCCCACGCTCTTGGTGGTCTCCAGGGTGTGCCTTCACGCGCTGTTTTCTCGACGTGCCACGGTGGCCACGTCGCCCCCCACGTCGCTGGTGCCCTTGATGGCTGCCCTGACCGTGTCGCTGCAGACACCGACGGTTACGGTGGCCACCTCGCCCACGCCCCGTATCACTCCTACGACTGCGCCCTTGGCGGTGGAACCCAGCTCGGCCCCGACTCCGCCGGTGGCCTGGATGGTTCCTTTCATCACATCGGTGACCAGGCCTTGGAATTCATTGAAGAAGTCCCGTGAGCCTGAAAGCGCGGTTACCGTTGCCCCTCTCGCTGCGGAGACGGTGCTTTCCACCACGTCTCCCGCTCCGGTGATCGTTCCGGTAATCGAGTCTCTTATCGTTCGGCCAATATTACCCAGTACCACAGTCAACCTCCCCATATCGATAAATGCCCGGCGACTCTCATCAGGCTGGAAGAGACTTCACATCTGGAAGAGACTTCACATACAGTATACTCGATACCCCCCAATTGAAGCCTGACCTGTATTGTTGAGGGAATACTCCTGACAGTTACACTTTGCCTTACGGAGCTATCCGGGCACAGGTCCTCGAAGCCGAGGACACAGCCCGTGAAGGAGCCAAGGAGGGCGGCTATGCCCAGCAATGACAACAGCAGCAGTGGCGGGACGAAACCCTCGATCCAATCGTCGCTCGTTTCCCCGAACGGCAAAACTCCTTCGAGACCGATAGCGGCATTCATATAGATTCGCTGTATGTCCCCGAGGACCTGGCCTCTCAGGGCCACGACTACTCAGAGAATATCGGGTTCCCGGGCGAGTTTCCATACACTCGTGGGGTGCAGCCCAATGTGTACCGCGGTCGAGTTTGGACCATGCGCCAATACTCGGGCTATGCCACCGCCGCAGACACCAACGAACGGTTCCGGTATCTGCTGGAGCAGGGCCAGACCGGATTGTCCGTCGCCTTCGATCTGCCCACGCAGATCGGATACGATTCCGACCACCCGCTGTCGAAAGGAGAAGTGGGAAAGGTGGGTGTGCCCATCTGCAGTCTGGGCGACATGGAAACGCTGTTCCACGGCATTCCCTTGGGGCAGGTCAGCACCTCCATGACCATCAACGCCACGGCATCCCTGTTGCTGTGCTTCTACATCGCGGCGGCAGCGAAACAGGGGTGCCGCAGGAAGAAATCAGCGGCACCGTGCAGAACGATATTCTCAAGGAATACATCGCCCGCGGTACCTACGCCTACCCGCCGCGCCCGTCGATGAGGCTGGTGGTCGACGTGTTCAAGTACTGCGCCGAAAACGTGCCGCGCTGGAACACCATCAGCATCTCCGGCTACCACATGCGTGAGGCCGGAGCCACTGCGTGCAGGAACTGGCCTTCACCTCGCCAACGCCATCGCCTACGTGCAGGCTGCGCTCGACGCCGGGCTGAAAGTGGACTCCTTCGCCCCGAGGCTGTCCTTTTTCTTTGTGTCCCAGAATAACCTGTTCGAGGAGGTGGCCAAGTTCCGTGCTGCCCGCCGCATCTGGGCGCGCCTGATGCGCGATCGCTTCGGGGCCAGGGACCGCGTTCGATGATGTTGCGGTTCCACACCCAGACTGCCGGCGTATCGCTCACGGCTCAGCAGCCCGACAACAACGTCATCCGCTGCACCGTGCAGGCATTGGCAGCCATACTGGGCGGCTCCCAGTCGCTGCACGTCAACTCTCGCGACGAAGCCCTGGCCCTGCCCTCCGAGGAATCGGCCCAACTGTCCTTGCGTACCCAGCAGATTCTCGCCTTCGAGAGCGGAACAGCCGACGTGGTGGACCCTCTGGGCGGTTCCTGGTACATCGAGAGCCTTACCAACGACCTGGAAGCCCAGGCCTGGATTACATTCGGCGTATCGACGAAATGGGCGGCGCGGTAGCGGCAATCGAAGATGGCTTCCAGATGCGGGAGATCGGCGACGCGGCTTATCGCCACCGACAGGAAGTGGAGTCTGGGGACCGCATCATCGTCGGAGTCAATCGCTACGCTAACGATGAGCCACCGGTAGAAGATCTGATGCGCGTTGACGAAGAGGCCGCCCGACAGCAGGTGGCGCGCCTCGAACGCCTGCGCCGTGAGCGCGACGGTGGCGTGTCTCAGGCCGCGCTCGCTCGATTGGCCGACATCGCCCGCGGTGCCGACAACACGGTGCCCGCGATACTGGAATGCGTGAATGCCTACTGCACCCTGGGAGAGATGTCCGCCGTCCTGCGCGAAGCCTTCGGCGAACAGGAGGAGATGGCGGCGTTTTAGTGTTCGATTTCAGTCACGCATTCGGCGAAACGACAATATCCCCAGCCAACTGAAGTTGTTCCAGCCAGCTCTGCTTCAGGAGTCAGACCTGAGGTCAGTTTTGGCGCAAAGCGCCTCTGGAAATGTTTTCTTGGAGTCAGCGGTTCTTGACGACCAGGGCGATCGGCCTTGGATGGTTCCGCGACATGACAGCGTCCTTATAGCAAGATAACGTTCCTAATATAGGCGGTACGCGTGTCAACGGTACGAGGTGCCAGCGGAGGAGCGCCGTCTTGTCGGGTCGAGACCTGCATCCCGGCCCGGCTGGCTATGTTGCCATGGTCGAATGATCAATAATCTGGCGTCAGGCCGTCTCAGTCATCAGGAGTTTCTCGGTCGCCCTGATATTGCTGACAATCCCCGGCAGGGCAATCGCGTCTTCAACGACGGAGGCCACATAACCCGTCATTCCCGCGCAGGCGGGAATCCAAACCCCCGTCTACCCTCGCACCAAGAACCTGGGGAGGCGCTGCCAATCCCATCTCCACCGTCATTCCGGCCCGATTTGTGTGCTGAGAAATAAGACGCGATTGCCCTGCTGCTGAAATCTCCCCCTTGCCCTGGAGCGCTGTGCGCCGTACAATTGTTCTGAAAGAGAATTCCCTGAATCGCCTGAGTGCTATGTTTCAAATGAAAGCCAAATTGATACTGATGTTACAAAATGTTACAGGATGTTACATCTCCACAAGAGGACCTTCGAATATTGAGACTGGCCTCCAGGGCAATCGCGTCTTCAACGACGGAGGCCCCGTAACCCGTCATTCCCGCGTAGGCGGGAATCCAAACCCCCGTCTCCCCTCGCACCAAGAACCTGGGGAGGCGCTGCCAATCCCATCTCCACCGTCATTCCGGCCCGATTTGTGTGCTGAGAAATAAGACGCGATTGCCCTGCAATCCCCGGTTGTCAGCCACACTGACACGCCTGTACCATGTATATTCTGATGGACCATAGTTGGCGACTGACTTTGCGCGCTTCGGAATCTCTCGCTGTTGACCGTAACCTTACAAAAGTTTACACACAGTAGAAATAATTTCCTCCGGGAGTCCACCAACGCGACCGAAACCCTATCAGGATCATCGACAGCGTTCCGAGTCAGGCGGCATAGGTCAAGGACCCTCGGTACTTGGGAACTCACCGTTCCATAACCCTTTAGGGTTAAAGGGTTGAGTTCCATCAACCTACTGGGGGGCCGTATCACCTGATTCCGAACGCTGCCCCCCGACAGGCCACTGTGGCGGCGGCGCTAACCCTGTTAACTTCGTCGCTGCCATCCGAAGGAGTATCCGGCTCTCGGTAGGGTGATACAGATATGACGCTTTTGTGTGTGCCCCCTCAAGCATGTCTCGCGAGCTGATGCGGCACTCGACGGAAACTCTTCGAAGGGGAAATAGTTCAACCATGCGACCAACACTATCGGAGGGCGATCCCATTTTTGGTGTTACCCTTCTGGTACCGGCGAATTGAAATCGGCCCGGGGTTTCTCTACTGTAACGGTCCCGGGTCTTGGTCAACTGATTGCGAACGCTACGCGGCTGGACACCTCGCTTTAGTATGACGAGCCGTTAGTTGATAAAATTAACGGCGTATTGATTGCAGAACGTAAACAAGGAGTAACCACAATGCCTGACCTGATGCTTTCTGAAGAGGAGCAGATGCTCCAGACAACCCTGCGCGACTTCGTAGACCGCGAGATTGCGCCCAAGGCCAGGGAGTCGGACGAACGCGGTGAGTTCCAGTGGGACGCTTGGCGCGGTTTCGCCGAGCTGGGACTGACTGGCTTGGGCATTGACGTCAAGTATGGCGGGAGCGGCCCCGCCGGATACAGGCAGGTGTCAATCGCTGCCGAGGAAGTTGCGCGGGGAGACGCCTCGGCCTCTGTCAGCTGGCTGGCCCACCTGGCCCTGGGCGTGGCCTCCATCGACCGTTTCGGGAGCGAGGAGCAGAAGCAGCGCATTCTGCCGCCTCTGGTCGACGGAAGGGGTGTGGCCGCTTTCGGTCTCACTGAGCCTGGTGGCGGCTCCGACGCAGCCGCCATGCAGACGACGGCCGTCGAGCGCGACGGCACCTACTTCCTGAACGGCAGCAAGATGTTCATAACCAACGCGTCGGTGGCCCAGAACATTGTCGTGTTCGCCACGCAGGACCGCAGCCAGGGCTACAAGGGCGTCAGCGCCTTCATCGTCGACAAGGGCTCGCCCGGGCTGACCATCAACCCCATGCATGGCAAGCTGCATGCGCAGCTCCACCACCGACGAGATCGTCTTCCAGGACACGCCGGTTTCCAGCGAAAACCTGCTTGGGGAGGAAGGACGCGGCTTCAACCAGGCCATGGAAATCCTGACCTCCAGCCGCATCATCATCGCAGCCCAGAGCACCGGCATCGGGCAGTCTGCCTCGAGGCCGCCCTGCGCTATGCCCAGCAGCGCGAGACCTTCGGTCAGCCCATCTCCCAGCACCAGGGAATCCAGTTCATGTTGGCTGACATGGCCGCAGAAGTACACGCCGCCCGCGTGGTCACCATGAACGCCGCCACGCTGAAGGACGCCGGGCAACCATTTTTGCAGGAAGCCTCTATTGCCAAGCTGATGGCTTCCGAGATGTGCATCCGCGTGGCCGACAAGGCGCTGCAGATTCACGGCGGCTCCGGCTACTTCCAGGAGGCGGGAGTGGAGCGCATCTGCGCGACGCTCGAGTGACAACGATCTACGAAGGTACATCGGAAGTACAGCGGCTTCTCATAGCACGGCAGCTGTTGAAGGATTACGCCATCTAGGGTAGATGGGGTTTCGTTCAAAGATGGGTGTGGAGTCAAATTCAAAGGCTAAGGCAGAGCGCAATGCAGAATAACGAACGCCCCATCCGCATATTGGTGGCCAAGCCCGGCCTCGACGGACACGACCGCGGCGCTAAGGTCATCGCCCGCGCGCTGCGAGACGCAGGGATGGAGGTCATCTATACCGGTATCCGCCAGAGCCCGCAGATGATCGTCCAGGCCGCCGCGCAGGAGGACGTGGACGTTCTCGGCCTTAGCATTCTCTCCGGCGCCCACTTGGAGATCCTGCCTGAGGTCATGACCCTGCTGCACGGCGAAGGCATGGACGACGTGTTGGTGGTGGTGGGTGGCATCATCCCCGCCGTGGACCGACAGCGCTCAGGCTCTGGCATTACGAGATCGACCGGCACCTCCACCGGTGAAATAGTTGAATTCATCCGAGAGTCGATGGCGGAGAAAGTATAGACCTCGAAGTGGTTCGGTCCCCCTCACGGTTGTTTAGTTCACAAATTGGTGCCCGAGAGAACGGAGGTACCGTTGCACAGGAATCCAGGGACATCCTCTACCTGAGCTGGCAATAGATCACTAATGGAAACGTTCCTGTTTGCAGTCGGCACTCTTGCCCCTCTGCTGCTGATCTTGGTGGTGGTCCATGAACTGGGCCACTTCGCGACTGCCCGCGCCATCGGGGTAAAGGTACTGGAGTTTGGCGTCGGCTTCCCTCCCCGCGTTTTCGGCGTCTACACCGGTCGCACGGAGGTGCTGCTGCACACCCGGACTCGTTATATAGGTGTGGACGGCCCCCAGTCTCTCCGTCCCGGACAGCGAGTTAAAGTCGCCTCTATAGAAGAGAGGACTTGGGGTTGGTGGCGGTTGAGGTGGAGCTGCACGGAAAGCGAGACGGGAACGAAGATCCCAGCCACTTCAACCGGCCCGTCGACCACCTGCTGTGGCATGAAGGCAAAATACGCTCCGTCAACGGCGGCTCAATCCAGTTGGCCGACATGCTTACTCGGTTAACCTCATACCTTTGGGCGGGTTCGTGCGGCTGGCAGGGGAAAACAACCCCACCGTACCTCAGAGTCTGGCATCCAGACGCCCCAGCGCCCGAATCATGGTGCTGGCAGCCGGGGCGGTGATGAACGCCGTCCTTCCTCTGCTGATCTTCACCATCATGTTCATGCTGCCCCAGGAGGAGACGGTCGGCCGTCTGGCTGTGAGAGAGGTGATTGAGGGCAGCCCCGCGGAACAGGCCGGAATCCTGTCGGGCGACATTTTCATCGCGGCAAACGAGCAGGTCATAGAAAATCGCATCGACCTGACCCGAGAGATCAACCTCACGGGCGGCTCGGAGTTGACGGCCCACATCGAGCGCGACGGACAGCTTCAGAACCTGACCCTCACCCCCGCGTTCAACACCGGCAGCAGCCAGTGGCAGGTGGGTGTTGCCGTCGACCTCACCCGAACGCATACTGTCAGCAGGTCGATGCCCCTGTGGGAGGCTATCCCCGCCAGCGTCACCGGCACGTGGGACCTGTTGGTGCTGCTTAAGCAGTCAATCGGCGGCATGATCTCCCACGGCGCAGCCCCGCAGCTGTCCGGCCCGGTCGGCATCGCCCAGATGACCGGCGAGATAAGCCGCGAGGGGGGCCTCATCGGCTGGCTCACAGTGGGCATTCTGCTGAGCGTGAACCTTGCCATCATCAACATCCTGCCCTTCCCGATGCTGGATGGCGGGCGCATCGTCTTCGTGGTCATAGAGTGGCTGCGACGCGGCAAGCGCATCTCGCAGGAGAAGGAGAACCGGTCCACCTCATTGGCCTCGTCGTCCTGGTCGGCGGCATCGCGGCCATCACCGTCAACGACGTCAGCCGCATAATCGAAGGCGTCAGCTTCTTCAGCGGATAGCCGGGGCATTAATTGCCCCGGCTATCGTAGAGGGTACCATTAACTTGTCGGATTGAAGTGGGCCCTTTCGGTTCCCGCTGAGCAACAACCGATTTTCGTCACTCCTGAATCTGGAACAAGTTCACCGTGTAGAGGACGGTGTTGCTGCGCTTGACAGGGAGTGCCTATCTCTACGCAGTGGGTGGGTGCTGGATGGTATGGTTCCACTTACTGACTGGGCCGGGTCAGGCTCCGAGTGATGCCTGACATGCCCATTTTCAAGATAGGTGGCCCAAATGCCGACGGACTCGGGTGCTGCGGTCACTGACAATTCGTAGGTC